CTCTTCTTGCTTTTGTGTCCAGTAGGCTGCGCCTCCACTTCCTTGAGATTGAGATGAAGTCGATTTGGTTTTTGGTTTGCCCGTCTGGTGACACCCATGTAGCCTTGTGGATATCTTTGTGCTTGTATACACTGCCACCAATCACTAGTTCGTTGAAGGCGCAGAAGTCGGCGAAGAGTTCTCCGTTTTCATTCATTTCTCCTAGAGCTTCTCTACCCATGATGAGTTCCCTTCCTGTGTTGTCTGGTCCCAGTTTGGCGTTCATGTCTCCCATTAGTATTTTCATGTCGCCAGCTGGAGTATTGTCCATTGTTGCCTGTAGTTGCCTGTAGAATTCTTCTTTCTTTTCGAGGTCTGCGTTGTTTGTGGGTGCATAACATTGTATGATTGACACTTTCCTTCCTTTGGAGTTGAATCTGGCGGTCATTATCCTGGACGAGATCGCCTCCCATTGCATCAGGGCCTTTGTTGCCGTTGGTGACATCATGATAGCCACGCCCTCGGTGTGCGTGTGGTTATCTTTTCGGTGACCGGAGTAGATCACTGACAATTTGGTGAGTCCATTCCCGTTCCATCTGCTTCCACATATCCCCAGTACTTGAATTCCGTATCGTTTCATTTCGTTTGCGATCTGGGCAGCTTTCCCTGTCTCGTACATAGTGCGGACATTCCATGTCCCCACACAGACTTTTTCTTTTGGTGCAAGAAGATTCACCGTTCTGAAGTTTCTGTAGCAAATTTGTTTACATGGTGGGGTTGCTAGCCTCACGCCTGAGAAAGGAATGGTTACATTAAGATAAAGTTTAGAGAGAAGCGACCTTTTGGGTTGCTCCCCTTAAAACCAGAAAACAAGGGATAAAACAATCAGAAAAACACCAGCAAAAGGAAAATAATTTACAGCAAAAAGGGCAACAAGCAACAACAACAATACAAATGACACAGTTAGGCACAGTTAATTAAAATGATACCAAAACCATAGACTCACTGACTTGGGCCTATTTTCCTGAATCTGTCAAATGACAAAGATATTATCAATACGCCCTTTTCCTGACCTGAAGCCATCGTTGTTTTTCCTGGCTTGTTTCTCCCGAGCACCACTCACTCTACAATTAGTGAAGCTAATTCTCTTATGATTATTATAGTGAGACTCGCTTCCCCTGACACAATTCGACTTTAGTTAATGCATTTTGATGAGATATTGATTTGCATGTATTCTGTTGCTTAACGTCTGTATTGGAGAAGTGTATGTAATGACCAGAACCGATGTGTTATGGTCAGAACTCAGGAAACCGCATTTCGTTTTCTGCTGTAAAGCTAACCAGAACTTCTTTGAGTTATTCAACGACAGCAAAAAAAGACAGTGATTTGCGATAAAATATGTAGTGCTATTCAATAAAAGTAATAATAATCACATTTCAAATTACCTCAGCAGTGCCTTTAGGTAGCTATACAAATCAAATTAGTTGTCATGTAGAAAACTGGAAACACAGAACCAAATCAACGGTACAAAGTACCTTGGAGCCAAGCAGGATATTGCAAACAAAGTGGGATCAAAACTTGTCAGTAGGAATCACGCACCGGACAATTCTCGCAAACAGCCCAAGATCAGGATGTCCTTGACTCTTCCAAACAAAATCGCAATCGTAAAACAACACATTATCAATATCACCACACAACCGCAAAGAGAAATGTGTAAAATTAGAAATTCGACAGGAGCAAAGACAAATCAATGAGGATTAAGTCAATGTGTGATATGCAGACGTCACAACAATGATGAACAGTCTAGGAGAAAAGAGAATAATAATTATAAAGTTAATCGAAATATCCAGATAAGTATTTTCATATTGTAATTAGATCCATCAGGATGGGTCTTTCAAACGATTATTCCGTCGAAGTGGTTTTGTCAGTTATCAGAAATAAAATGGCTTTTAGAAAATATGACATTTTGGTTACTTATTAAGGTGTTTGATTGAAAAAAGGACTCCAATTAAAACTAAGTAATCAACTGAATCTTTTAAATAATAATAATAATAATAAGATTTGTAACCATAATTTCTCCATGAATACATTTGTACATAACAGTTTTCAATGAATAAGTTAGTGTGCATTTCACTTCATTTCAGTCAACGATTAAATGAGTTAGGTGCTTGTGTGGATGTGAATTGTAGGGAAACTGAAGTCATTCACATATAACAATAAATTTGTAAATGTTAAGGAACTGACAAAGTATTCATACAGTATGTGTAAGTGATTAGTGTGGTAGTGTCTATTATTATCATTGTCTCCTTTAGTTCCTAAAGGAACATAGGGCTTCATCCGCACGTCTCCATTACATTCGGTTCTCCGCCAACATTTTCACCTGGCTTCACGTCTGCCCACATGCTTTCATCTCCTCTTCACATGACCACCTCCATGTCACCCATACACTGACGACCAACTCTCCGCTTCCCATTAAGGTAGTGTGTAGTTCTGTGTTAATATAGAATTAAGGTTTTACCGCTTGAAATTTTACAGATATTTTGAATGTTTCGGTACAGTTGTCAATTTAACTGATGACAGATGCATGTATTGTTTCAGAAGGCGGAAAACTCTGGTCTGTTTCATTTAGTTACTTCTATATTTTACTTGTTCTATAAACTCAAACTGATACAAGTCGAAAACTGTGCACCATTTAGTTTTCACATGATGTTTATGAAACTTAAGATTCCTAGACTAAAGGTCTGTTTGGATTATATATACATATAATTGCATTATATTCAGTTAAAAGAGAACACTTGTTTAGCACTATTACTGATAAAAGTTCTTTGAAGTTCATCAGAATGTTATGAAGCCCCTAAATCGATATTAGTGTTGGTTATTATATTCCAAAGAATGGATAAAGTTGTGATTCACTTATTTGTAAGATAAACATGGTTCATAGTTGGGTCTAATAGGGGTATTTTTTAACAGTCTATGTCTGGTTCATTTTGTGGTTCATGGTCGTAGCATATTTTCACCTTCCTTTTATTTTTGAAACCTTGAAGTTACATGCAGTTTAGAGGAATCGTGTTAGGCAAATTGATGAATAGTATGGTAATGACAGAAGACAAGGGTCAGGCAACAGATCGTGTATTGAGAAAATCAACAGATATTTATAGATTTTTATGTACATTATTATTCGTTAGTGCTAGCAGAGGGGTGACGTCTTCTGAATGATTGTTTTCTTGTTGGAGGATATTCTGTCACCTCTTTATGGCCGTTTCTTCGACAGTCCGGGGATATATCTGCTAATCATATCCTCCCACGCTAAGTCTTCTGTGATTGGTTGTTGAGTTAGTCTTTGTTCTTGTTTTTTCTCATGACCAAGATTTGGGACGTAAACACTGACGTAAATTGCTGTCTACCAATTTCGGCTTGCAGACAGCTCTTACCACAGTATCATCTCTCCTGCTGCGGTTTGGAATTTGATCCCCGGCCGACGAACACCTCTACCCCGCTAAGCCAGTAATTAGATTGGCGAAGAGGGAAGATTGGGCATTAGGCTATCAACCGCATCTCGTAAAAATAAACACCACTGCTACAGAAACTTCAAGCCTCTAGCTTGAAGTTCTTGTTCCACTGGGAACGTAAAGGAATAAAAAATCTTCTTCTTACAGATCCATTACCTGCACAGCACACAAAGGACTACCCAATCTGACAATTAAATTTTATCTTATTGAACTTGATACTTAGTTAAGCCCATCAAATTCATAATTCATCATATTAAGTAATTGCAGCTATTAGACTGTTGGAGATAATCGGCAGGAAGCCCAGTGTGACCGAGGTTTCGTGCTAGTTGGCACTCACCAGTCAGCAAGGTGTACCTTGAAGTGACTCCTGTTCCTTCTGTGATCCGAGCCCGCGTCACCCAGTGAGTACTGCAGTCAGAGACGTTACCATTGAGCCATTCGGGCTCGCGACTAAGCTCCTGTAGGACTGAACTGGATATTTTTGAACAGACACGCAAATATGTCTGATAGAATTCAGTCTACGTGAAAGATAGGACTAGATACATCACACTAGTTACTGACTGGTGTCCAAACAAAAATATCCGATAAAGTCATATAGAAGGTCAGTCGCGAGCCAGGGTAGCTCAGTGGTAACGTCACTGCCCACAGTGTTGGGTGACACGGGTTAAAATCTCATCAGGGACATGAGCCTCTTCAAGGTTACAGATACACCTTGTTGATGAGCGCCGACTAGCACGAAACCAAGGTCAGTCCAAGGCTTCTTGCCAGTTGCTTCCAACTATCCACTATCAACAATTCAAAGTGCACCGTGATAGTGAGCCATCTAGGATCGTGGCAACACTGTAAACCTGACTGATAGAATTCAGTCTGCACGGAAGATAGGATTAGACGTATTACATTAATTATTGCCTACTGTCCGATCAAAAATAAGCAATTACGGGATCTTGTGTTTTGTATACGTGCCTCAGAGATGCAAAATACATACAAAACTCAAAATGACAGAGTTTTTGGTGAATGAGATCTATCGTCTGATTGCGCAGAGATTTTTGACTTTATCCCACCCTTTTCCAATTTATTCCGATCATTTCATATCATATGCATTTATTTATAGGTGGTCATACTGCGAGTATTAATCTAGTTGTTGATCCACCACTTCCCTTTTAATAAAAACTGTATTTAGTATGACAACAACTCTAGGATGGATCAGTGATCATACAACCCCAACTTTATGCAAACAATATAATATAAAAATATATACAAGAAATCATACTGTAATAATTTGATCCCATGTCATGTGATTATGCTTTATTTTTTTAAGTTGGCTTATCGATCTTTTTAACTACTCATGTAATATTATTAAGCAATACAGAGGCATTCATACACAGTATGAATTAATACTATATTACAAGTAATATATTAATGCTTAGTGGGAGGTAAATAGTTTGTGAATTGAAAATATCACTTCTTCTATTCCATTCGTCAATTTAGTTAAATCTCGATGTAAATTCAGACAGAGAATGTAGGATTACTTACCTATTTATTAAACATGATATTTATTACTACTAATATCATTTAAGTACCATGTGCAAACAATATGAAATTAAAGATTGGAAAATTGAATTATTGTCAACATTATTATTATATTATTAAAAGTGTTATGTTCAGAAGTAAATCGTCATCAATGAAATTTGATGAATTCCTTGTTGACGCGGATTTAACATCTTGTTCTCCTAGTTTATATGATAATCATTTTGAGTTGACAAATGGCATAAATATTCACAAGGTAAACGAGTTCCCCTCACAAACATCCTCATCATTATCCTCTCCACTGCCACCCTCACTAACACCATCTTCATCATTTTCATCAGAATCTATTGTCGACTCTCAAAGTTTGATGTCAGATTGTACTGATGAAATAATCAAATCCAAATCACAACGACCTTATAATAATATGTGTAATAGTGATATAAAACCTATAAAATATAAATTATTAAATAATGAAAGTCTGGGCAATATTTGTATCAATGTACAATTTCATTTTCCATATTCATTGCATAATAATAGTTTATTAACAGATTTTTATGATGAATTAAATTCTGATATCAGTACTAGTACTAGTAATACATTTACTGTTAGTAATATACTTTATTCAGATAACTGTTGTACTACATCAACGATAGGCTTTCCACCTTATTTAGACAAATTACACAGTGTACAAACAACTAGTGATATGCTTATAAAACCTAAAAGTCCTAGAGTATTATTAGACGCATCAAATAATGATATATATGATAGGAAAATTAAGCTTACACAGAAATGTAATTCATCCTCTGATAGTGGACTGTACACTTCTCTACCCATTGATGTACGCTACATATCGACAAGATTAGTTAAACAGGAAATTCAAATGGAGACACCGCATTTTGCACCAATTTTAAATACTAAGTATATTTATAGTCCATCATTAGAGAATATTGAAAATAAACTATGCACTGGTGATATAACTACATCCATAGAAACAGATTATGATATGAGTAATAATATTCAAACTATAGATACAAATATAAGTACTCTATCAAATCTAGGTGAATTTAAAAATCAATCAAGGTATCGAAGAATTGAAACATCAGCACGCATACATGAAGATACTTCTGTGACAAGTACAATTAATGTTGATGAACAAGTAAAATTGTGTCCTGAAAAGTTAATACCCTTATATGATTCGAATCGAATGAATCCAATCGAATATAGTCGTATTTCACGAATAAGTGAAAAGTATGTTGACCAAGCGATTATTCCTAATGCTCCGCTTACATACAATCATAAGCATTATGAGGATACATCCAACAAAAGTATGAATGATAGCATAAATCATATCAACTATACACTTGCTGGTGATATGTATAAGAGAACAAATGAAGAGATTATTACTTCATCGTGTTGTCTACAAAGATCTTCAAATCTCTCCCCAGAACATTGTTGTTCACTAAATAGCATTAATGAAACGACAAGTAGAAACATACCGAATCCTGTAAATTATTATGAAAGTGTCTTATGCAGACAATTATATTCTACATCGATCAAAAAATGTTCAGAACGCTATGAAAAAGTATATTCATCACTTAAGCCATTGAATTCTTCTAAAATGTATAACACTATTCCACAGACACTACTTATATCTAAAATGGAAGAATTTGTTCAGAAGTTAGCGAAAGTATCATTAATACCAAATCAGCTGTGTGAAAGGCACGAACATCATTCCAATCTCTGCGTAGAAGGGGATAAACAAAATCCTTCTGTAATATTAAAGAATGACGCATTGTTATTCAATAAAAATCCGTTTAAAATGAATAATATTTCTAAGATTCTCATGTTTGATAAACAGTCGACTATACAAAAACCATCTTTCACGAGTATCTATCATCAAGATAGATCACTGAAAAAATTTAGTCAGTGTGATACATCTACACAAACAGATAATGATGATAAAGTTAATAAAAGCAAATTTTATCAACATATAAATGTAGAACATTTTCAATGTCCAATATATAATAAATATAGTATAGATGGCTTGGATTCAAAAATGAATTCACCGGATACGAATCATTTCCATGCTGTAGTATCACCAGTTTATCCTACATTTCGTAATAGTAGTAGTGGTACTAGTGCTTGTAGTTGTTCCCATTCAGAAAGGTGTAAATCAAATTTCACACACAAATCAACATGTGAAGAAGCCTTTACAAAATGTTATTCATCCTATGAATTGCATAAACACCCAATAAAAGCAACCAGTTTACCCATTGCTAAATGTGTCTTCTGTCATTTTATTGATACATGTCCTGGGGATTGTGTTCATCGTATCACTACTTGTCTACATCATGGTTTGTATATTTTGTCGAATACACCATCATGTATTAATTCACAATCACATCAATCAAGTGAATCAAATGTTAATATTAAATCGAATGAAACAGATGTGTTCTCCTCGTCTAGAGTATTACATTTCATTGTATGTCCTAAATGCAGTGCAAACAATACCGCCAACAATTGTGCAACACATAACAGGTATACTACATGTTATAGACAACGACGTCAGTATTTCAGCACACGATTTGCTTCTTCGAAAGAATTTGTTGTGTATGTTCAAGAGAAAAGGAAATATTTGACTATGTATGATATAGAGATTTAGTAAACTGGTTAACAGTTATAATAATTTCAACATTTACTCAATTTTACACGCGAAATCTTGTGGATTCATTTTTCATCGCATATGTTTCACTTTATGTTACTTCATGTTATTATTTTACTGAGAATGGATGAACCATTTTCTTTCTTTATGTTATATGATGTTATTTAATGCTAATTTTACTATTCGATATACTGACTGCTTTATTTTTCACCTATTGGCCACAATAATTAAGTTGCTACCAGTACATAGATGATGCCATCCCATTAGGGGACAGGACACTGAGAAAAGACAGTGTTTTCTGAACAATTTGAGTATGTTTGCTGTGTTTCTTCTCTAACAGTAGTAAAATGGTACTAAAGGCGATTCGAAGTATGGCTGTAGGCCAGTTGAATTGTTCCTCGTACCCAACGACTCATTAAAGTTCTGTCGTTCCCTAAGGTCATCTTATTTATCAGAGATTTTGTAGAACCTGTTCTCTAAACCCCTCCCCCTACCTAGAGGATCTAAGTAGTTTAATGTTGATGCGTTTCTGTTTTTCTTTCGCCTTCTTCACCCACCAATGTTTACAGTCATTTGACTACCTTTCACTCGTTGTCATTTTCAAAATTCGCTAGGGACAATTTCTTTAACTCGATTAGTTCGGATAAAAATGCAGAATTACAGTGACATTTACTTGTAACGACAGAAGACAAGGGCGAGGCAACAGATCGTTTATTGAGAAAATCAAGGATATTTGTAGATTTTTATGTACATTATTGTCAACGGGAGAAGCCACCACGTCTTCTGATTGGTTGTTTTCTCGCTAAAGGCTATCCTGTACTGCTTGTGACCGTTTCTCAGAAAGTTAGGCCATATATCTGCGAATCGTATTTTGTACACGTTAAGTGTGCTGTGACTGGTTGGTGAGTTCCCCAAGATTAAACTTTGTTGCTGTTTTTTCTCATGACCCCTATTCGGGATGTAACATTTCTTTTTTTATTATAGCTTGATTCCACACTGTATTTTTGGTACAAGTATAGAATTTTCAGCATGGATATCGTAGCCCAAATTTTGCAGGCCGACCATAGATATCAGGTGTGCGTTGGCAGGGGATCGAACCCTGGACCATGTTCATGGTCGGCGAGAGTCCTAACCACCGTGCTACCGACACACAGAATCCCCAGTGCCCCCGGTGGGCTCGAACCACCAACCTCTCGGTTGACAGCCGAACGCGCTAACCCATTGCGCCACAGAGGCACGCAAATTGACGTAAGTTGCTGTCTACAATTTTGGTCTGTTCGCGGCCAGCTCTCATTTCATTCCTTTGGTTTCTAGTGTATCATTGCAATTCAAGATGGAGTTTGAAGTTCCCATAGCAGTGGTGTTTAATTTTAGAAGATAGGGTTGCTAGCCTCATGCCCAACCTTCCCTCTTTGCCAGTTTTAATACCGGTTAAGACAGCGAAATGAATGCATTGGTCGGCGATCGAACACCGAACCACATGCGTCGTTGACAAACATTCTACCGATGTGGCACAGACGTACCAACCTATGAAAACAGGTTATCAAAAGCCTTCATCCTTATTTTCACAGCAAACTAAATATGATGCCAGGCTTCCTGAATATGAGTGCTGTTGTCATACAAGCATAAGTGTTTATTTATCGCCCTCGTAAATGCAAACTTCATGTTATCATCCATGAGCTGAACACAAGGGATTTACGGCTGTTCCGTCAGTCTCAGGTATGTATGCATACGAATTAATATAAGATTGGAGTCTATATAGCTGTTGAGAAGGACGATCCTCATGACCCACTAATAACTGGGTGATGTGTCTGTCTATCAGACTTTTTATCGACAAGCACCAGTTGAAGAAAGTGTAGTCGTCATGTACATTCCATAGATCCATAGGTGACAGCTTCATTTTTCAATTTTGAAACGTTTAATATATCATATCTATCCAAACCCTATCGTCTATTCTATCACTATAGTCTTTCCTCTGTAAGTGAAAAGTTACTTTTTATACTCCAGCACCTGAAGCCATTGAATGTTCCACTGTGCACGCTCGTCCAGTTGGTGTCGAAGGTTGTTTATCGACATGTCATACACCTCCAAGACCGTCTTGCTGACAACATACTTATTGCTTCTAGTGGCTCAGATGACCTACAGTAACTTTTATCCGTTGCTATATTATACGGTTTCCAGCTTATTCAACTTTTGTAACCCTTAGTCTTCGTATTTCTTTAATAAGGGTTGTTTTATTTTCAGTATAAGGACTTTAATTAGTCTATTGTACTCACTGTCACCCCAAAATGGACAGCTAGTTAGCTGAAAGGAGCCTCGTAAAAACTCAGCTAGTAGAAGTTATTTCTAAGTTGCAAGCAGTTAAACTTATCGTTTTTAATTATCCTATTCTGTCAGCAGGTAACGTCGAATCTTAGGCACTTTTATATTTATCCGAAATGATAGCTGCAGCTTAAGAAATCTACTTATCAAAACTATTATAATGACTAATTCTTAATAAAGGCGACTATGACAAGAAAGCTTTGGAACATATCGAAGCAGGTTCATACGCATTAGTACCAATAAACAAAATGTCTAGTACTATGAACAAAGTAAAAGCACAGGCATGCGATCTACTTAGAGAATTAAAACCCAAACTAGGGAATTCAGTTTGGTTTTCAATAGCTCCCAAAACAAACACGGCCGCGAGATTTTATGGAAGGCCGAAAATACATAAAATAAATGTTCCATTAAGACCAATAATTGATTTTACCAATTCAGTGACATATACTTTATCAAAATATATATCACGAATACTGAAACCATTTCAATAAAATATTCCTTCGAACATCAAAAATATTGAGGAATTTAAAAGGAAAGTAATGGACATAATTATTGAAGAAGACGAAATTATGGCAAGTTTTGATGTGGTTTCTTTATTTACTAGTATTCCTACATGTGATTCACTCGATATTATGAAATATGAACTTGAAAACAATCAAGAAGTATTAAGTAAATCTTTATTATCAATAGATGAAGTTATAAAATGTTTAAAACTTTGTTTGGAATCAACATATTTTACATTTAAAGACAAACTATACTGTCAAACAAATGGAGTTGCAATGGGTTCACCAGCATCTTCAATTGTAGCAAACTTATATATGAAAGCCTTAGAAAAGAAAGCATTGACAAGTCTTAGCTGTCATCCTAGAATATGGTACAGATACGTAGATGACACATTTATTGTCATAAAGAAAGCTGTAAAAGAAGACTTTCTAACAGAAATTAACTTAATCTCAGAATATATTGAGTTTACTAATGTAATAGAATCGGCGGAGGGAACTCTAAACGTTCTTGATTGTCTTGTAAAAAGACAAACTGACGACAAACTAAAGTTTACCATATACAGAAAGCCAACACATTCCAACAAGTATTTGAATTTCCAATCAGATCATCCAATAGGAATGAAAGTTTCAGTAGCTTTAAACCTCGTTAACAGAGCTAGAAACATTATGACAGATAACGATATGGAGAACGAGATATCCAATATAAAACATATTTTGATTGGAAATGGTTATCCTGAAAAGCTACTAGATAATATTATCAATAGAAGAGTATAAGGGAAAACAAAAAGTTGAAAAATCTTGGCTATCGACGATAGCCATTCCATATCGAAAAGACACAGCTGAACAATTTGCTTCATATAATATTAAAGTCTATGTCAAACCTTCTAATTCTCTAGAGAAAGCGCTGGTGCATGTCAAAGATATAGCTCCCAAAATGTCACAAAGTAATTGTGTCTACAAGATAAAGTGTTCAGAGTGTGATGCATGCTATAAAGGGGAGGGCAGTAGGCAGGTGAAGGTCAGAGTGAATGGACATTGACTATGCACGAAATGTCCACCTAGAAATGAAGTAGAATTAGAAAGTCTAGAAAATAGATTGGCTATAGCAATGCATGCGATAGACAGCGGACATTAGATTGATTTCGACAATGTCGAAATTCTTGGAAGAGGATTTCATTCACATAAAGAAAGATTGAATTCTGAAACCTTGAACTTTTTAACCACATCGAATGCAGTGAAAAGGAAAGAAGGGATAGACTTATCACCTATATGGCAAACTCCTATGAAGCAAGACAGATTGAAAAAACAACAAACACTCTATGAGCCTCCATGACCCTTCAAAACATGTAGTATTATGTTTATCACATATGAATTCACGTATTTTCCATATGACAAATAACATACATACACACACACACTCATACAAACTAGTCTTTCATAGAAGAGTGAACGCAACAACAATTTGACATTACGAGTTGATCACGGATTGATATCAGTTACAGAACCATTGAAAACCAGCACCAGCTGCTGTTTCATTCCCAAACTAGGATGAAAAAGCAGCTGTCCAGTACTCCCTGATTTTCAATGGTTCTCTTACTGATATCAATCCGTGATCAACTCGTAAAAACATAACTAACCCTTACAAACCAAACTATAGAAAATTTGGCATTAGTCATTACAAATATATGATGAGTGCTTACATATTTCTATTGGTAAAAGTAAACTGACTTCAATTTATGTAAAAAAGTTTGACTATATATTTTGATGATTAATAAAAATTCGAATAAATCTGCTGAAGGAGCTGGCTGTGGCTTACACAGCGAAACGTTCAGAAAAATCTTGTTTTGATTTTCTTAACACGCTGGGATTAATTTAAATAATTTATAATGAATCAATCTGACTCGGCGCTCAAGTTATTCCAGGAAGTTCGTAACATCTACGGTCAGGAAACTTATAATATTATAATGACTGCTAAAATACATGATAAAGCTAATACATGCTAAAACAGGATCAAGATAAGAACAAATTCTCCTGATGAAATAATATTCATATGGACATTCACGCCAACCACTAATTTCAACTTGAATCGAATTGTTTATTGAATAGGACTAAGGATATATGTATAACTAGACAGTATTTTACAAATAACAGTTAAAATGACTGTAGAACTGCAAAATGTGTAAGTGTTAATTTTAACCGTACTGTATCTCTTAAAGATGATTAAATTTTAAATCGAAGTGAACGACTTTTACGTTCGTAACGAAACTGAACCCAAAACAACTGGAACAATACAGTTTCTGAAATCTGTGGACCCATAGATGTTTAGAGATGTTAAAAATCAGAATACCATTCAAAAAGTCAGATAACGATAAAGTTCTCATCATTTTAATGAACTCAAAAACTAACCGTTTTTATTTGAATTAAGTGTATCATTAGTTGCTCTCTCTTCAAAGGTTTAGTAATGGTGATGTATTGAAATTGATTCAAAAATGTGTTAACTAAATGATAATCGTTTAATCAGGATTAGACAGTTATGTTTGGGAGTGATAGTCAATCTTGATTACCTTGGAGATAGATTTTTTTTCTGTGTACAGATATAGAATAATCATCTTGAAGGGGCAAATGTTATGATCAGGAATCATGTTTTCCAATGTGCAGATATGAAACACAACTACTAAGTAAGATGGAATTATTTTCATGATCTTTTCAATATGATTTAAACCAAAAGTGTTAAGCAAGTAAACATTGGCTAGTGGTCGCGCTCTGTCAGGAACTGGAAGAAATCGAAGTTCATACGTCGGCCACTGGATAGGGTCCCAGTGGCTGAATGGTCTACGAGCTTGACTTGTAACCGGAATATTCTGGATTCGGGCCTCAGTGGGTGCATAGTGCCGATGATTCACAAACTAAGACGAAACAGCTATCTGTACAGTACTCCCTGGTTCCCCAACGGTCTTCTTACCGATGTCAGCTCATAGTGATATTTTGTAAGCAAGTAAAAAAGTCAGTTGATGATATTGTAAACAACACTCAAGTAAGATGAGCGGAATGAATGTGACGTATATTAAGTGAGCAAATGAAAGAGTTTAAATATAGGAAAAATGAATTACGATAAAACTGAGAGATGAAACCAGTGTGTGAGTGTGTGAATTCAAAAGTTGCGTAAAGGATTATAGTCTTCCATCCATTTGGATTCCTTTGATATGCAGACATTAAGTAATTAGACAGATCATATGTCAAAGTTATGAGCGGGAATGTTCAGAGAGAGAGACGAAATTATTTTCACATCAGGAATAGAATTAGCTGGGTCCACGATTTCCTATATTCTCTCACTTCCTCCTCCAATTCACACAATCTCATCCATGTAACCCTAGAACCGACGACCCACTGGTCGCTTCCCACTGGGATTCCACTCTAGCGATGGCCTGAATTGGCGCGTCGTCATTCCACAGTCTCCTCAACATATGTCTGACCCATCTCCATTTTCTCCTACATATTTGTTGAACTATCGACTCTTCGTTGGTTTGTTCCAGCCGGAATTTCTTTCTCTGGCTGGGTGGCTATTTCATCTTCAGTATGCAATCAGAGAGGTACCTGTTGATGAAAGTCCGCAACCTGTTGAAAATCCTTTTCGTGACATGCAGTGCAAGTTTCTCAGCCGTATAGAAGAAATGACTTTGCATTTGTATTGAAAATCCGAATTTTGTTCTTTACACTGACTAAGTGCAGAAGATTTTCATTTACTTCATTTACTTACTTGATTTACTTCAAAAAAATTCATATTGGTAATAAAGTAGAAACCGATTTGAAAATGTACATGAGTATAAATTGCGATTTATAAACGTAACTGGATAATTGAAACAAAATACAATGGGTAGGTAGCCCAGTAATTTTTAGTAGACCATTGAGCATGTGACTATCAACTTTCTGTCATTGATTTACAATTCAATCGATACTTCAAAATTATCATAATTAGCTGATAATATGAGGTATTAGATCATCAACCATATGCTAGTCAGTTAATTAGACATTTAGTTATATAAATACTTTTATATTTTCTCTACTTATATTTTCGATTATAATTTACACTTTTATGTAAAAGTTTTAGTGTGAAGTTTATATTTTTTATTCTCTCCATCTTCTGACTGACAATTTTAACTAATGAATTGTTCAGAGTTAATGAATAATTTCCCAGATTATTATAAATATGAAATGGGTGTAGAAGATAGGCATGCGTTGAATGAACGATATTCATTGGGAACACTAATGAGTTTTATACAACTACTTAATACTAATCAGTTTCAATCTAGTCCAATGAAAAACAGCAGGTGGTATGTTAATCACCGATGGAAATTAATTTCAGAGAAGATTAACTCTAAATCAAATCAACATACAGCTCTAATCCTTAATAGTAATTGTAATAACGGAATTAATACTTTGTTAAACAATGAAACACACTCTATTTCTTCAAACTGTTCAAAAGAAAGTTTTTCAAACTTCTATGCGCTAAAATCAGATCAAGCTAGATTGGGAAAATATCGATCAACACCAAAGTATAAGCAAAGAATAAGTGCATTCGATATCACTAGTGATCAATCAACTCAATCGTATACACTAACTCTGTCAAATCAGACAACTAGTGATTCACTTATTCAAGCTAATCATCGAACAAAGACAAGTTCTAATCTCCTGAAGGCTAAAATATCCCGCAACAGTGGTACTATAGATTCAAAGCAACTGAAAAGTCCCATAAAAGTTAACTACACATCAGGTAATAAACATAATTCAAAGGCATCTGATACTAGTAAGTTGTCAGAGGATTCAGGAACATCAAATGATATTATTTCAAGCCTTGAAGAAGACAGAGAAGAACACAATGAAACACTAACAGCTATCGTACAGATAACCTTCTACATGTTGTCAATAATGACCAACAACTGAATAGTGTGACACTGAGAAGTCAATGTTCATCGTGTACTACTACGACACTGTCAGAAATTTTCGACGATACAACATGTAGCCAATCAGTCGGCACTGAAATAAGCGATATTTACAATGGTCCATCACTACGTAGAGTACGCTATATCGGAACAAAATTACCTACTAATAAATGGCATAGATCAGGTTCCCTTTTACAAAATAAATTAAGAAAAGAAATTGACAGTGCATATCTATCTCTCGAACATCGTAAATGTTATACACGACATTATATTAGAAAGGCTGTATCATCTATTTATAATGTTCCATTAAATTTTATAACTAACAAAAGTACAGTTGTGTGTAAAATTGCAGAAAAACGCAATGTCATTGATGATTTCCTTCAGCGTAGAAGTTCACTGCCTAGTAGACAAAGTTTCACTTCTATGGATATGAATAAAGATATACAAATATGTTCTCCCAAACGATTAGTTTGCATAAATGAAGCTAAACAGAGCATAGCAAGCAATGAAAGTGAAGGACACATATTCAAAGAAGCTTTTGCTGGACATGATATACAAACATATTTTATTGCTACTTGTACTAATAGACTTCCATGTGAAACATTTTCTCACTTACTTGAGAGTTCATTTTTAAAAGCTGAACAACCTGAGTATACATCATCAGAGAAACAAAAGTTTAGTCTTAATTTATGTGGACCGGAAACAATTACAGAGAGTGAGTTCTTAGCGCAAACAGTACCAATGAAAAGTCTGCTTAGTAAGCCTGAAAAGCTTATAAATATTACATTGATGAAAACTCCAGCGTTAATAAATTCAGCACTGGGTAAACACATCTTGAAAAACAATGAATTATCTTTAAATTCCACTGAGAAAAGCTCTGAACTGCATCTAGACAGTGAAGATACTTCATCTGAAGAGACTAGACAAGAATTCATCAAAGACTCGAAACAAGCTCGAAGTCACCGTCAAGTTTAATCGCTTGCAATCCAGAGGAGACAAATATAATAACTATATTCACAATTCCTGAATATACCCATCTTTGTCAAGTGTACTACATCTACACGATACCGACAAAAGTGAAGTAAAACAATCGATTTATTTTGCATATTTAAATGACGGACCAAGTGAATCACGCGGTGATTCACCTCGAAATACTATTTCGTATATATTAAATAATATAGTTGATAACTCAAATTTACTTACACCAAGAACATACTCTGTCGACTCTGAGTTAACTTGCTTAACATCAAGTGAAATGTTACCTGATTCATACTTTTCAAAACATTCACATTCCCAATCACAAGAGGATATAGATTTGAGTCAATCTGTTGAGACTATGAATAGTAGTCTATCTAAGCATCAACTTTTTGCTTTCCCTAAAGAAATCTTTGGAGACTGTGAAAAAATTGTATACTGGTTTAGAAATACGCTCACAACACTGAGTAATTATGCTGCTCCACTCAATACACATATATTTCCTGAGAAATGTGTTTATTTTGAACAAATTCTATTCGGAGATACAAATATAACTTCCAGTCAATCATTAGGTGAAGACAGAAGTGTAAAACAAGATATGCTTAAAGAATCTTTAATACCATCATTGGCTGATATTCAAATGTTCACACCAACTGCAGTGAATCAATTAAAACAAAATATCACTGATATACAAGAAATTTGTTCATTCAATAAAACGCTGACTATGAAAGAGACAACAAGTGATTCAAGCTCTCATAAAACTAATGAAATGTCAAAAAATTCTTTAAAGTTATTAAAATCTAAAATTTTCGATAGTTTTGATATCAAGAAGGCAATGTCAGTGAAGCGTACATCATTTACTGATATCAATGGATTCAATTATATGGATTATCCTATTTTTAAGGAACATTTTGATAAACTTACAATTTTATCAAAAATTAGAAATGGAAATAGTCTAAATACGTTCTGTAATATTGGTGAAAATTTAATCGATTGGAATAGTCAAACTTCTCCAATATCAACAATAACACTAACAACTAAACAACAGGTTGAAGGTGCTACTAAGCCGAAAGAAAATGAACATTCTTCATCAACAGAAGCACCAGGGAAAGAAAGAATTATCAATAAACAATTAATAGATTTATGTGACTCAATAAATGTGAGTGATTTACGTTATGTTGATGCAATTGCCAGTTCATGTCAATCATCCAAGTATCAGTTGTCATTCAATGATCAGAAAGTCATGTCATCAGGAGTTAAGAGAAAAGTGAAAGACACTCCATCATCTTTAGATTCAGTAAATAAGCCTAAATTTAACAAAACATCTCGTAGTTCATCTCTTGTAAAAGCTGAGCAAAAGATTCGTAAACCTGTTAGACAGCTGAATAGAATAACGAATCCCCCACCAAATCAGTCCTATACTCAACCAAGGAGAAATAAGCTTGGCTATGAAAATTCAACAACTGCAGCTAGTGTTCTACATAATAAAGTAAGACATTTGTCGTCTAACAGATCGACGTATTCATCTCGTCCAAAGGGATTACCACCTTCTAATATGACCAATGGGATGAGAAAGCCTTCAGTAAAGAAAAATGTATTCGATGAAAAACACGATTCTAAAAATCAATATGGTCCCATCTACTTTTCTTATTTTATGAATGATCTTCGCCTTAATGGTAGTGAAGATCATAATAAGAAAGAAGATAGCTCATCGAATGTGTTAGAAGATTCCAAGAAAACAGTGAAGAAAGTCTCTGAAATTGTATCACTGAATGAACAAAATAAAGTATTTCATGAAACTATCAAACCTGCCAACTTAGATCCAGTTACTAACAATTCTAAATCAATGAATTTAATATCAGCTAGTGATCTTGTCTCTATATCAACCAAGGAAACATTAGATAAACAAGACAAAGCGACAGATATAGGGAAATATGTACCATCTCTCAAGGAGTTATCCGATATGAACCGACCATTTCGGAGAACAAACACTTCACCTAATTTGAGATGCAAGATTAAATATCCACACGGAAAAATAATTGAAACACGTAATGAATGTAGTAAAGAGGTATTAGAAGATGATTTAAAAGAGCAGACAGAGAACTGGATTTCAAGTATTAAAAATGAGACGACTTATGATAAAAGGACAAATGTTGGTCCTAGGCCTTTCTCCCCCCTTGTTTCACCGACTGTTACTAGGTCTGATCATTACAGTCAAAGGAAGTCTGAAGATAAACAGGAGATTAGAGAGGAATCGTATCATTAAAGAAAACAGAATTCTGGTGTTGTGGTATTTGGCGTCGAAGTAAAAGCCAAATACCGTGAAAGTAAGGATTATTTTGTGCATCGTAATATTGAACAATGCAAATTCCACAAGCTGATTGGCTTATTAATCCTACTCATGACAATCCAAATTTGTTTCTCTAGGTGAAAAGAAGCGGGAAAAGTAGACGAGAAGAGAAAACACTGTCAAAATATTAGAAACAAAAAGCCCTATGAGCTAATTTAGTCCGTCTGGAAATGACACATAAACCTCATCTTTTGTTTTAATAACATTCTCACTTCACAATCTCCTTTAGGTTTTGATTATTTTCGCCTTACTCATTTAAAATTAAACACGTAAAAAAAAAAAAAACGTGAGATTTATAAAATAATACTTATATGTCATTTTATTATTAGTATAAATAAAGTATTAACCTTTCAGTAAATCAAATAAACTTTGGTTGTGAATGACCAATGTCTTATTTATTTCACTAGCAAATTTTCATTGAATTAATTAATTAATTAGTCCAAAGAATTATTTAGAGAGGTTTACCCGTCAAATGTCATACGGTGGAGTGACATATAAGTGAGTGATATTTTTGTCTTCTTTCAGTTGAATAGTTTCCCTGGGAAGATTCTGTTATCCTTCTGGGTGATATATATATTCTGAAGGTAAAGTAATTTGGAAAGTGCTTCAACACTCCAGAGTGCAGTACCTAAAACCTTTATAAACCTCATTCAGCAAGTAAATGGCAATCCTACATGTCAAGTGATTCAAGACCGAAAGCTCAGTGAGAAGCCACTGAAGTGAAGAAAGGAGTAAGACAAGGCTGGCTATTATCACCGATAATATTCCTGATTGAAGTGAACGGAATCATGCAGCACACCGTGGGAAGTGAGAAGACAGGAGTATATTGAGCCGGTAAGAAACTTCCAAAAGAACTGAAATTCAAGGTGATCTTTGTGAAATATCACATAAACTCAAAGATCTACAGGCGCAAACCAACAATTTGGAAGAAGAAGAAGAAGAGGCAGACAGTGAAGATAGAACTTCAACTGAACAACAGCAATTATCATAATTATCAACAGGATAAATTGGAACAAGGTCGTTTCTTTCACTTATTTAGGTCACATTCTTTCAGCTACTGGCTGCAGAAATGAGAATATCAAGGCAGGATAAGGAAGTCAAGAAAGATATTCATAGTCTTAAATTAGTGTGGAAGTCTGTAACATTCAGCATATAGAAAAGATTCAGATTTTCAGCCCTAATGTCAAGTCAGCGTTTCTAAGTGACTCAGATACTTGGTATGCGCATAACAAAAAGCCTTCTCAACAGAATTTGAAATTTCATCAACAGCTGCCTTCTCTGCCTCGAGACTGAAGATCAGATGGTTAGGAAGGATTAGCAACACTGGACTCTGGCAGTGAATCTACAAAGAACTTAATGCCCCATAAACACGCCGAAGGAAATGAAGATGGATTTAAACCCTCGATTGAAATCACTTTCCAAGCCTTCAATTGGAATCCGAATGGGAAACGACTAATTGGGCCTTAAAAGTGACATGGAGAAGATCATGTTAAGACGAAATAAGGGTCTATCAGCAATCTTTAAGCTAGCTAAAAATGAAAGCAGAGAAAAGGTTGAAGTGGAGATGAAGCCCCATGATCACTAGCGCCTTTAGGTAAAGTTTGTGTAAAGGAACTCGTCTCCACATGTTCGAAAATCGTACTTTTTAGTCCTGAGTGTTTCGTTCAAAATCATGAGCCATATACCTAATGCAGTCGCACAAACAGCACTATAAGCCTTTACAATTACAATACTTAGGAGTTGATGGGAAGAATAAAAAGCCTAGGACTAGATTACATGGCTGTAGATAATCAACACTGAGTGAAACAACTGCGAACTAAGGATATAGCTATTATCTGGAATTTATTTTTATTTATTTATTTTTTTTATATTTTTTATTATAGCTTGATTCCACACTGTATTTTTGGTACAAGTATAGAATTTTCAGCATGGATATCGGTAGCCCAAATTTTGCAGACCGACCATAGAAATCAGGTGTTCGTCAGCAGGGGATCGAACCTCGGACCATGTGCATGGTCGGCGAGAGTCCTAACCACTGTGCCACCGACGCACACAAGCTTTAGCCAAGGATTTTAGCCACATTATACATCCGATTGGAAGTTTTCAGTCACCTCAGTAATGAGTAAAAATTTGCAATGATTATCAGACGCTGACCATTTTTTATGCAGTTATCGGCATTATTTTTCAGCATCACCTATTGATCTTAATTTTTATCTGGAAAATTTGAAACAATGTCATTTTAATGACTGTTGAATGCGCTCTAGTAAAACGATTTGTACATTTAGACTACTTATGAGTAGGCAAACTGACAATCAAAAATTACGTGAATCATGCTTACATTTCATATTTTGATGCATTCAGTGGGAAATCAAAGTTGACTCTAAAAAAAGTAAATAAATCATGACGTTGTATTTATAGGTTTCTATTAGAAAATGTTACCATAACTACCCGTAATCAAGTGAAGACTGAAAAACTACTCCAGCCGAGACCATCACCTTATATTACAGAATTAAATACCAACTTATTGACATCATTCCACATGAATTATACTGAAATATTCTATTTGGTAGGCATGCATATATAAAAATAACACATCTGTTGAAAGTCATAGTTGTAGCAGGATAGAATCCACTCAGTTTACCAACAGTTAATTCAATGAAAATCTGGGAACATGTTTTCATTTCTTTGGTATTAGAGAATTGATCAGAGTGGTTTGCTGCAATACATCACGCAAACACCTATTCTCCTCGGTGATAGAAAGAGGATAAAATCATATAAAACAGGTTTACGCCGGCTAAAACTACTCTGGACAAGTTAAACCATTGGAATGAGACGGGATATTAATAATGGTTTGATTTAACAATCTTGAAGCCTGATCTTATGCAACCAATGAAATTAGTCATTGGTTCAACTTTTGAGGATTGACAGTGTGATACACATAATGTATTTCCGTCCAGTAAATTGAACTGTTCTCATCAGCTCCGTTGAGTCTGTCTTCTACCTTTATTTCTTTGGTCTAAGGGCTGGAGTGTTGAGTTGGTTAGTAATCAGTACCTTGTCTTTTATCGAGGTGTCTATCATTATCGAACCCACAAACCAGCAGTATCAATATATCAGCAGGCATAACACCCAAGATGTAATGTAAATCACCAGACAAGTATTGAAATGCATTCATTCTTATGATAAAAAACACGTCAAATAACAGGGGGATACATTTGATGTGAGAGAAAGCAAGTGATACGGCGTTGCAGAGATACATGGGAGACGTGAAGGAAACACAATATGAAGGAAGCGCAGAAGTAGCACAACACGGGAGATCTATGCAAATGTTGAGTTGAAGATAAGGTCTGCATAATTTGGCTATATAGAGGTGCCAAATTACAAATAAGCATTCCTTTACTAAATCTCTCGTCTTCTACCGTTACAATTGTTATCATTGCCTCCGAACAATGAGGATCCCATGGCCGGCTGCTTTCGAGGAAGGAGACATATGGAGCTTCTTGAGGGACTCTGAAACCGTCTCTGAGTTGGTGGGCATCAGAGATCTGACAACGAAGGTGGTTGTGCTGGGGATACATTTCACTGAGTCTTCGCTTTCATCTCACACATATTCCTGATTTTTAAGCCTTTCAAATCTAATCAGTTGCTGTTTAGAACTAACATGTGGCCCGAATAGGCAGGATAAAACATATTCATGCTTTTTAGCGATAAGAGAACCAGTAGACTGTTTCAGTTGCCTGACAACTATTGATATTAGAACAGAACCTGGACACTGTGGTAGAGTTTGATTCTATCATAGAATAATTCTATTTAATAAAAACAAACAGTGCAACAGTATCATAAACTGATGTTTATAATCATATCAAGGGACTGACATAACTTCCAAACTTGTTTACATAGTTACATTGTTTCTTTTCCTTTGATTTTATGACCAATAAACTGCGCTCAAAACCTTACTAGTAATTAATACAGTAACACTGCGTGTTTCTAAACAAATAAATTATTTTATGATAGAATTTGCAAACTGTGCTTTCCACTTTTTCAGTTAGCCATAAACTTTTCAAGCATTTCAATAAAATATTCTGTATTTATTAAATATTCTTGGCAAAATTTGAGTTTTGTAGATATCAGAGAGAAATCTTAAGATTTTAGACTCATCAGGTTTTATCTCTATCGCATTGTACTTTTAGCACCTACTAATAATCCATTAGGAGGTCTAGAACCTTTTGCAGACGACCTAAGGTTTCTCCTTTGGTTGGCATGGCATAGGGTTTCAATTCTATTAGCTTTTGGTAATCAAGACAAAGTCTGTAATTTCTTTTCAGTCTCCTCACTAACAAGACTGGTGAGAAGTAAGGACTGTGGGCTGCTTTGATTATCCCTTCAATCATTTCGTGTTCTACTCAGCCCTTTTCCGTTAGACTGTGTATGACTAGTTCGTTACCGTCCACTTTCACGTTCTTCAATTTTCTACACAATAACGGCATTAATTGTTCGAATGTGAAGCGTTTAACTGCCAGCCCAAACAGAATAAGTTTAAGCGAATATTACTTCTGCCCAACAATGAAAGCCTATTTTAGTACTGTACCTATTCCATAGCTACTCGTATCTGTAGACACCATGAACTGCTTTTCAAGTACATGTATTTTTACGTTATTTCATGGTTGTGTAAAATCTGTTGACTATAGTCGAATATGATCTACGAATCTTATGATCAAAAAAATTTGGACTCTCTCAGCAGTTTAAGCATCTGAGCTGATATCTCGTAGGAGTTTTTCACAAACCAACTATAAAACTCTTCTCTCCTTAAAAACTACAGTATTTTTCTCTTTGTGTTCAGGACTGCATTGGTCGTTTCCCGATTGACCTCCTATTAGAGTAACATTTCTTCTAGCTTTCTGAGATTACATCCAACTAATTTGTAGTTATAACTCCTCAATGCATCTTGAAACGCTTTAAATCTAGTTTTCTAAACTATGAAAATAAAACATTTATTTTGTGAAGTAATATCAAACAATATTAAGCATACTATTGTAACAATAGAAGGTAAGACACGGGAGACAAGGTATATTTTTCATTAATCAAACCGTTGTTTATATATGTACAGTTTTTATTCTTTAACCAATCACCGAGCGTGTGATTTTGGTTTATATCAAACG